AACCAGAATTATAATTATAATATTATTACTTTCATTAATGTTGTTGTAAGCTATTAACATTATGGTCTGTCCTGTATCTCTCTCTCTCTCTGTCTCCCATTCTGTCTCATTATGTCATACAGATTTCTGTTAATTTATTATGCTGATCTGTTCTGTACGACATCTATTGCATGTCTGTCATCCTGGAAGAGGGATCCCTCCTAAGTTGCTCCTCCTGAGGATTTATACCGTTTTTTCCCCCTGTTAAAGGGGTTTTTTTGGGGAGTTTTTCCTTATCTGCTGCGAGGGTCATAAGGACAGAGGGATGTCATATGCTGTAAAGCCCTGTGAGGCAAATTGTTATTTGTGATATTGGGCTTTATAAATAAAATTGATTGAATTGATTGAAACAGACAGATGGACAGACATATAAACACCTGGGAAAATACACCAAATAGCTTCTGTGGTAGTTCCTAGTACAGTAGGTGTCTCCAGGACCACATTTTACCATGGTAGCTCAGTATTTTGGGTTGGCTTGACCTTGTTATTTGATCCCAGTATGGCCATGGGATCCAGTAAAGTACTGACATGATGAAAATATATATCAGTATCAGTATTAAAAGTATATTTTTGTTTATTGTAAATGGTGTTGAAACACTTTTTTCCTTTTCAATCAAATATCAAGTGTAGCCCTCACAGGTACAGAGAACTGAACAGCAGGTTAACAAATATTCATTTAAATATTCAAAAAGATTTCTAATTTATATCAGATTGTTATCTTCAATAAATGCCAGAAAAAATGTCTGAAAGATTAAATGAGCTATAGATTTTCAGATGCATATTTGTTGGTTGTGCTCATATTTATGATTAAGTTTGATTTCTTTGATACTAATTAATCAATGGTAATAATTCCACTGTATTGTTCACGTACAGCATTCCACGGATGTAGCAACGTGTTTGATTGGCTTAAACCAGATTCCTTTCATCGCTGTATCCAATCAGCATCATTGTTTTATCTAGTGTGTGGTATGTTGTCTCCTCCCCCTGTCTGGAGTTGACAGTCTGTGAGGAGGAGACGGAGGAGTGAGGGAGGTCTGTGCTGCTGTGCTCGATAAACGAGCAACAAGTCTGTTAGAGTGAAACTGTGAATTAAAAAAATAAAATGCGAACTACGACTGGTTGGATTAAAAAGAACTTTTAATTACGAGTTCCTACTTGGATTTAGCAGCTGGAGGAGTTGGCGGACGGCTCAGGAACAGAGTGAGTATTCCAGTGTTTTCTGAAGCGGCTTTGTTATCAACAGGTGCTGCAGGAAGCAACAAGCTAACTAGTTAGCTGCCAGCATTAGCCTGATAACGTGAAGTGAAACGAACCCACACCTTTTGGATAAAGTAAGTTTTTGTTAGGGTTGTTAGTCGCCAAGCTGATGTGAAAGGTTTACAGCAACCGAAGGAACTTTATTTCTACTAAAAATGAAGCTAATTAGCCTAAAGCTGAGCTACTTCTGGGTTACTGTGATAGTGGAACTGGCTAACCAAAACAGTCATTTCTCTGAGCTAACGTTAGTCCCTTAGCTAGCTGTCACACCGCCCTGTCACAAACAAAAAGAAACTACCACGTTGGATAAAATGACACGCTGACGTCCTGTAATTGTTTGTGTGTTTACCACAGAGGACTGGGTTTAGTTTGCGTTTTGTCGTCTGTGGTTAGCGCACAGTTTTCATCCCGTAGCGTTGGCTGCTAGAGTATGATTATGAGTAATGTACCTTTGACGGAACACTCAGAAGGGTCCCTACGAAAGTTACATTGCTATTATGAAGGTTGGTAGTTTTTTTAATGACAACTAGTTTCTGCCTGCTGTACAAAGTCGTTGTCAACACTACCAGACGCTGAACTCCACTCATATTAAAATTTAAAGATGGTTTTGGGTTATGGGAACAGACATACACACCCTGAGATAAGTAACTGAGACTGTCTGTGAATCCAGACTGGGCAATCCCTAATTCAGTATAAATAAAAACTGATATCAGTACCTTTGGGATTCAAGAACGTATGCCTTTATCTGCTGTGTACCTACAGTGCGAGGACAAGAAGTGACAGCCATATTTTTCAAATGATGTAATGTTAACCTTGATTCTTATTATTAGAGAATGGTATGGGCTGTGCCAACATAAAGATAGACCAATACTACTAAAAGCAGTATTAATAGTTGCCATGTTGTGTGTAATTGTTTCTTTAAAGTTTCCTGTGTGTGTGTTTTTCTTAATCTTTTAAAATTTTCAAAAATTTCAAATCTACAGATGAGTCAGGATTGTGAATGTCAGTGAAGTGTCACTGTTTAGCCAAATGTTACCGTATCACAAGGCTGGAGGCTGTTTTCTATTTATGGTGAAGTGTGAAAGATATAGGGGGGTTTGGTGGTGTCTGGCGGTGAATTGCAGATTACAGCCAGCTGAGATTTCTCCCAGTTGGAATTCTTACAGTGTTTATTGTCCAGGAGGTTTTTACTGTGAGCCGAATTATCCGCAGAGATCTTCTCCTCTCGAAAACAACAGATAAGGTGTTTAAAACCAGTAAAAACACTGAATAATAGGGATGCACGATAATATCGGCACATCATCGGTATCGGTTGATATTGGCTTTAAAATTAAATATTGGAATCGGCCACCATGCAGATGATATCGGTACGTCATCGGTTTAGGCCAGCATTGGCGTTGTATAGATATCGGTCAAATGAATTGTTACACGATATTGGATTTCCTGCCGATATCTCCATAAACAAAGACCTGCTCCCTATGTAGATATAAACGGCTTATTCTAAGGTAATGAAAAAACAATGATTCATATTCTCAGGTGATTATACACTAAGGAAAACATACTTATTCAATATATTACATTTCTGCCAATATATCCCGTCTAAATCCTACACACTTAACCTTTAAGTAATTCCATGATTCAGGGGGGAAAGCCCATGTTGTGTTTCTCGGATACTAAAAAGTTTGGCTGGGTAGGTTTGAATGAAAACCAGACACAAAGATGAAAAGACGGAGGAGGAGTAAGACAAACATGTAACCTAATGGCTGTAGTCACAAGGCGCTGTCTTGAACAGCACTGATACTGAAAGCACCTAATGTCAGTGAATGATTCTCCATTTGCAGTGTCATGCTGGGTGCCTGAAGCTGTCAGCACGGATTTAATGATCTATGCTGCTTTGGCAGTTAGCCTGACACATTGCCTTGGTGTAGCTGCTCATGTAGCCAGGTGGCTTGGTGTGTTTGGGGCAAGCTTACACTCACTTCTTCTTAAACAAACATTGTTGTGGTGCCCTTGGGCAAGAAACCAATTAATCTTTAGTATCTCAGTTTCACTGACTGAGATACCTGAAAGTCTTGTCCTCTTAAATGAAGGCAAGAAAAAGAATCTCGGAGTAAAACCATAATATTTCATAATGATGTGGTTCATCGCATGTTACTACCTGCTAACAGGATAGGAAACTGACAGATTGGATCTATATATTTATGGATGTTGGTTCAAACTATGGAGTAGACAGTGTCTTTTAAATTGATGTATTAATGTGTTTTTGTGTTTTGGTTCCAGTATAAGCATTTGTATGTTGCGTTTGTAGCCGTAGCTTGAGAGCCCTATCTGTGTAGAGTTTAACCCGAAAAGATATATATATATTTTTTTTTTTTTTTGTTATATTGCATAGTGGCATAATTATTAGTTGTTAATATGTTGCTGCAAATTTGTATTTAAGCCTTGCTTAATTTGACTTAATTTAAGACAGAAAAATACTGATATACAGAGGGAGGTCCAATTTGGTATTTCCTTTTGCTTTTATCAGCAGCTGAGAAGGCTTTTCCATGTATCACATTCCACAAGCTATTACAGTGAAAAATTATATGATGTACATAGTGCTACAAAATGGTGAATAGGTTTTTGTTGGATATATATAGACATGGGTTTTCAATACATGGTAGGAATAATGGCTAGCTATTTGAGAGTAGTTGTAGGTTGCTAGCCTAGCCGCTGAACTGCAGGTGCATGTGGTTTGGTTTATGGTCTGCAGTTGTGCAGTCCACTTTACAGGACAGTTTGTGAACACCCAGGTGCTCTGAACTGACCTTAAGATAGGCTTTACTGCAGGCATATGGCCACATCGCTATGGTGACAGGGTCAAAGCAGACTTTTACGGACACACATGTCCACACACTGCGATCAAGTGAAGCAGAGAGGTGAGGACAGGCACATTGGGCCACAGGCCAGCAAAATACAGAAGTCCTCTGTTCTCTGGAATGCTCTCTCCATCACTCTCTCACTCTCATTCTCACTCTGCTTCTCTGACCTGATTGGGAGCCAAAGTTGGCTGCTGCCAAATCAAAATGTGTCACCACATCAGGGGTATACTTACACTGGAGATGCTATTGTCACCTGGTCAGTGTCCTCCGGATTGGGTATGATAAAGGTTCCTTCCTGGCACTGGTTAGTCAGTGTGTTTAATTTGAGTGAGCTGTTTGGGGCACTTGTTGGCAGTTTCATGCTGTCAGTAAGTGAAATTTGCCTCAGCCAGCACAAACAATGAGTTGGGTGATCATGCCATCTTAGGCCCCGTTAAGATATAGCGTCTAAAAGCGCGTGGAAAACGCCAGCTGTGCCGTTTCCATCCTCTTATCCAAGGCGCTTCGGAGGTTGTGTTACTGTCGCGCCTGCCGTTACTAAGCAACCAAAACCGCCTGTCACTCACAGGGGGAGTAAAAAAGTTACAGAGTTTACAAAAAAGTTAAATGGATTTCCAGCAAGCATCAGGAGGTGAGGTGTGTGCATATGTGTGTGTGTGTGTGGAGGAGAGGGAGAGAGGGAGATGATGGTAGAGAGATAGTGTGTGTTATTAGATACATAATGTTGTGAAGTTCGTTGGACGGAAAGGAAGAAGCAGGTCTGTGGAGCTTCTTATCACATGACATGCAGTGCGCTTGCTGCATTCGAAAAAGTTGAGATATTTCCATCTCTGTGCGCCACGGATGTGCAAGAAAAAACAGACGCGTCGCACCGAATGCTCGCCGCTACGGCGTCGCTTTGGGTTGTGAGCGCGCTTGACGTGCATCTACATTGAAACTAATGGATTTGTGAGCGCAAAAGACGCTACATCTGAATGGCCCCTTAAGGGGCCACTTAGCCTGACTTTTAGTAGAGTTAAAGTGCTGTAAAAATGCTGTCTCTGAAGTTATTCCACCATTTAAAAAACAACAACATTATTTATGTTGTCATTTTGTCATATAGGCTACAGCCAAATCAGAGCAGGCATTTACCCTGATATTTCTAAAGGGTGTGGTGAACTTTGCAAATATCTGACACTGATAATTCCATAAATATGTTTCCATTACTGTTTATTGCATTATTACGCCATAGTTGAAATTGTTCCCACTTCAAATATGTAAAAGCTTTACAGGACACTGACAAAAGGTTATTAAAATCTGTCATCTATATTCTTCCTTTCTAATTCAGTACATTGTAAATTACTTAAAATATTTTAAAAGAAACTCAGCTTATGTCTGTATTTCCCCTCTCTCCCTCATTTGGGCTCCTTTTCTCTTTGTCTGGTACAGGGTGGTACAGCCCTTTTTAAGAATGTACGTGTGTGTGTGTGTGTGTGTGTGTGTGTGTGTGTGTACTGTTAAGCATAAGATAAGAGGCTGCTCTGCTTCTGCTCCCAATGACATTCACGGTACACACACGCACACACACGAGCGCGCACACACGAGCACACACACACACACACACACACACACACACACACACACGCAGCTTTGCTCACTCTTTGTGTCACATAATGTTGGTTGGATAAAGAGTTTTTAAGGAATACTGCGCCTTGTACTATACATACTTTTTGGGTGTACAGTGTACAGATTAAGCCAAATTTTAATCCAGAATTTGTTGCCCATGACCTGTTTAGAATCAGGCCAGATTTCTGCCAGAATTGCTGTTGTTTGACGTGCAGTTTGAGGGGGGTCATGACATCTGATTCATTTTCTGAATGATTAACAATCTTAATGATCTCCATCTTATTGGAGTAACATTTTACATGTTGTAGCTATAACTGTAGACTTTACTTTGACTTTGCTATGACAAAAAAAAAATAAAAAAACCTTTCCTGAAGAATAGAGGAACCATGTTGTTTATACGTCTCAAAGTAAGTAAGTTGACAAAGTAATGCTGGTTTTCTCTTTTTTCTGAACATAATTCGGGATGTTTGACAAAAT